CATTCAAAACCACACCAAACATCACACACACATGCATAATAGACTCCCCCCCGCCACACACACACACTTAAGCTCGACATTGCCCTCAATGGCGTAAAAGAAAGAGGTAGAACGTTGTTACCGGTCAAGTTGTGCACGTTGGTGATCGGGAGCGGAGGGCGGGTGAGATATGAAAGAGCAAGGAGATGGCAAAACACCACCAAAATCTCTTCATTGATCATCTTATTGAAAGGAAAAGAGATGCAAATCGTTGATGGTTGGGTTGCCTCCCACCAAGCGCTTCTTTAACATCGTGAGCCGGAAGGTTGTTCTTCAAGTTTCGGTCCACCCAAGAACCTCCTTGAAGTTGAGGTTCTCGTCGGTGAGGTGAAATATGAAGTCACAAGCATTGGACGAATCCATGATTGAGGGCTCGTGAACTTGATCGACTTTGAGGCTCACCCACGAGACCTCTTCTTCTTAATTTCTTCACTCTTCTCTTTGCCCCATACCATGTAGTGCATCATCAATTTACCACCATCGCATCCACCAAGAGGGACCGCCGATGGTTTGGCCTTGGCTTGGCAAAGAGCCGCAAATGGGTCCTTCTCCAAAATCGCATTGAGGTCAGGTGGAAAGCTTTGTTCGCACTTGTAACTTGTTGAAGCTTCTTCCACCACGACCTCATCTTCATCTTGGACCTCACTTGCTCCTTCTACTTCTTCTTCTTCTTCTTCTTCTTCTTCTTCTTCTTCTTCTTCTTCCTCCCCTTGGGAACACTCGAGATCTTCCCCCTCTTTAATGCTTTCTTCCTCCTCTTCTTTCTCTTTCCCTTTCATGTCTCCAAGAACGGTTTGGAGGGCAAGGTGCCATGCAAGATCATAGAAAGGATTCTCTTGCTCCTCCACACTCGTATCTTGGTCTTCAAAGTTGCTTTCGGGAAGGGGAAAGTGATGAGAGTCATCAATGCAACCTTCTTGTTCATCCTCACCATGGGAGCTCTTCGGGGTGAGTTCTTCTTGTTCCACACGGTTGTCATTGAGTGCCCCTTAAACCTCCTCTTTCTCCTCCAATAATGAGAGGCGATAGCTTTCACAAGCTCGTGCCACTTTCTCCTTCAATAATGAGAGGCGATAGCTAGTACAAGCTTGTGCCATCTTCTCTTCTAGTGTCAAACCGCGAGGAGGGAGGGGTTGGAAATCCGTGTTGGAGTTTGTTCTTGCAAAATTCTCCACGACAAGCAACAACTTGGACTTCGCTTCGGGTTGTGGGAGATCCAAGTTCGAGCACCCTTCATCGGTTCCTCGAGGAAACTGCTCCACCATGAGCTCCTAGTTTCTCTTTGGCTCCGGTTGTGGAGTGGCACATGGTCTTGATGATTGTCCCATGAAGGCTTCCATGGCCAACTCCAACTTGGATTTCTCCTTGGGTTGTGGAGGGAAATATTCTTGATATGGGGAAGCCTCTTCATATCCCCAATGGTATGGTTCTTCTTCTTGGAAGGGGGGTTGGTAATAGAACCCAGATCCTTAGCTTCCCCCTTCTTCTTCACTCCATGAAGCTCTGGGGTACCCCATTCGGGTGGTTGTGGATACCCCCACCTATTGTAGAAGCCATTGGGACCCATGATTCATAACTAACCTACACAAACAAAAACACAAAAAAAAAAAAATCAAACAAACACAAACCACCCTTCTACGAGAAGAGTGAGTAAATAAAACACAACATGAAACATAAAACACGAACAAAAAGACAAGATAAAAAATGCTAGAGTAACACTAAGCGACCTTTTCAAAATAATGGACTGCGGTTCCCCGGGCAACGGCGCCAAAAACTTGACTCACACGAAACTACACCACAAATTAATCTCGACTAGAGCCCAAGTTTTTATACTATAGCCTGGTGCATTATAGAGCAAGTATTTAAATTGTCAACCCGGGCCGATCCATGTACCCCTACTTCAATTGCTTAAGTTGTTATCTAGCAAAACGATTTTGAGTTTTTAAACTAAGAAAACTACGAATGAAACAAGCAAACAAAAGTAAATAAAGGAAAGGAAAATTCTAACTAAGGAGCTTCACCCGGGATTTTCTTCCCCCCTAACTAGCTACCATGACTCGTTGATTTGAATGGAGTCGTGTGGCGTAGGTGGTTGTGAACTGCGAGGGGGGGGGGGGGGGTGAGAAACTAGTGATCGAATTGTCACGGAATCAAATCACTAGCGATCAATTTGTCACGGAATCAATCCACTCACCAAGTCTAGGGGAACAGCTAGGAGGAGCAATTACTGATCCATTTGTCACGGGATGGATTCACTAGAAATCAATTTGTCACGGGATCGGTCCTCTCACTCAGTCTCTAGTGGTTTCCTAGGTCTCTCCCTCAAACCGGAGTTTGAGCGGCTTAATCACAACCAACCTACATGTAAACTTGAGTCAAGAGGGATGCTCATCTCTATCCTAGATAGTAGACACAAAGAGCCCAAGAAAATCAAGCTTGTTAAGCCTACCTAAAAAGGTGTGGTTTTCCTCTAATCTAGGTTAGGCAAGCACACAAGATTTGGAAAGCAAAACTAAGCACAATCACCATAAAAGCACCTCTAATACTCAAATTGATGCAAACCCATACAAAGTCATTCAATCTAAACAAGTAATTACAACGTTTTAGTTAGGGATCTACAACACCCAAGAGAAAAGAGTGAGTTTCTAGATGAGAGAGAGAGGGATTACAAATTTGAGCTCAAGATCTTCTTCTTCTTCATCATCATCATCATCATCATCTTCTTCTTCTAGGCTTGAATCCTTGTCTTCAAGATCCACCCAAGCCTCCAATGATGCTCCAAGATCACTATAGCACTCTTTCTCTCTCTCTCACTAGAACTCCCCTTTGGTGTTTTTGGGCAAACCCTAGAGAGGGAATTGAAGTTCTCTCCAAAAACCATCTCTCCTTTCTCTCTCCCCGCTGTTGTCTTCATATTTTCCCGAAAGCGATCAATTTATGGACGCGTTGGCCAGTTCACGGCAGTGAACACCTAAATGCGTCCGTGAACTCAATGTCGTCCAAAATGCACCGTTTTGCTTCCTGGGTTCACGGTCAATGGCCACAGTTCACGGTCTTAGAGACCGTGAACTGCCTTGTCCAACCGTGAACTACGACTGTTTCCTGGACTCCGTCACTTCACTGTTACTAGGCAATTGTTATAAGTGACTTCGGTCTTTTCTAAGCTAAACGAATAAGAAATGAGGGGTAAAATGTGTACATTTGGGCCCGAATCAAGCAACACCTACAATCCCGGGTGGCGCAATCATCCAAACTTCGCTTGGTCTTCCCCTACCAATCAAAAACCTCCATTTGCAAGGTCCAACGGGCAACTACCAACCCGACCAAGCTCGCAGAAGTTTGGGAAGATTGAGCAATTCATGGATGTGGCAACATCCAAGTTTACGTTGGTTGAGGCAGGACTCCGAAGCCATCAAGCGAGTCTCCAAAACTTGGAAGTGCAAATTAGCAATCTTATCAGGATCCTCACCGAGATACCAAAGGGAGCCCTAACCACTCAAATCATTCCCAACCCCAAAGATCAATCCGGGTGCAATGCAATTTTATTAAGAAGCGGGAAGGTGACTCCGGAGGTCGTTGCCAAAGGAGTGAATGAGAAGGAAGACCCTCTACCCGAGGGTGAAGAAGAGGAAACCTCGGGGGAAAAGATAAGAGTGGCAAGGAAGGCATTGCCGACGCCACCACCTGTGGCTAAGTACACGCCACCCCTACCTTTTCCCACGATAGTGCACAGGGAAAGATTGGAAGCAAAATGTGGAGGTTTTATGGAGATGTTCCGAAAGCTCCACCTCAATATTCTCTTCCTTGAAGCAATGACCCACATGCCAAGGTACTCAAAATACCTCAAGGGGCTTCTTTCTAAGAAGCTGAAGTTCGAAGACCTCGCTAATATCACCCTAGGAGAGGAGTGCTCAGCCTTCATCCTTAACAGGTTGCCCAAGAAGCAACCCGATCTAGGTAGTTTCACTATACCTCTTTGCATCGGTTCTCATCACATAGAAAATTCCTTGGCGGACTTAGGGAAAGCATAAATGTGATGCCATATAATCTTTTTAAGAGGCTAGGCATAGGTGAACTAAAAAATACATGGCTTAGTGTCACATTGGCCGATCGCTCTGTCATTAGTCCTAGGGGCATAGTGGAGGACGTGCTAGTACGAGTGGGGAAATTCTGTTATCCGGCGGACTTTGTGATCCTGGATATAAGTGGAGATTCTGAGATGCCACTCATACTAGGACACCCTTTCCTAGCCACCTCCAAGGAACTAATTGATGTAAATGAGGGAACTTTGATTATGAGAGAAGGTGAGAAGTGAATTACTCTTGGAATTGATCATAAGCCTAGGAGTGAGGAAGTGAAGGAAGTTGAACCAGGTGCTAAGAATGCAAGTGGAGGGAAGCCTTGCAAGGGGAACCCCACTATTATTGTTGGTTCTTGTGATGATGTGAAGTAGGGAAGCAAGGAGGGCATCTCCCCCAAAGAAAGAAGGAAGGTAGCTTGGAGGGAAAGGTTACGTCGTGTTAATGCCCGGTGGAAGGAAAAGGGCAAGGCAAAAGTGATTGGCCAAGAAGGCCATGCGATGGAGCTTAAGTTGGGAGGCGACATGCCTCGCCCCGAGAACGTGGCGGATCCACTCTCGGTGACAGCATGTTCCAAAACGTGATAGATCCGCAACGTCAAGCTAGTGACGTTAACTTAGTGCTTGTAGGGAGGAAACCCAACGGAGGTTTTTTTTTCTTTTCCTTATTTTTGTTTTTGTGTGTCAAGTGAAGAGTTCTAGTGTTCGAGTGGTATCCCCGTGCCACGTTTTGTGGTTGTGAATTTTGAGGTTGTGTCGTGATCGATAGAAGGCACGGTGGAATAGGTCGAGTCAAAAAATTTCAGAAGTGCCCTGTTTTCACTGATGTTCACGGACGGATTGCCAAGTTCACGGTCTTACAAGACCGTGAACATGCAAACGCGTCTTTGAACCAAGCACTTCCATGAGTGTAACACTTGTTGACCATCCCCAGTTCACGAACGGATTGCAGAGTTCACGGTCGTTAAGACCGTGAACTGGCAAACGCGTCCATGAACTGCTAGCCTGAACATCGACTTTCCACTTCACGACCCAAAATTCGCCGAAAAGTCAAATCTCATCGGAAAACCGCGAAATTCCGATGATTTTTGGCCATTTCCCCCATTTCTGGTGAGGAAAACCCTAAACCAAGCACATACCCATTCCCCCCTCATCAAAAGTAGCCTTCGCCGACATTTTGGGGAGATTTGGAGCACATTTTTCCGGCGAAGTCGCCGCTGGCGAGCCATAGGCGAGCTTCTGACGAGGCTCCGACGACCCTTCTCCGGTCTGTTTTTTTGTCGATTTTCACTGTCCTCGCCCTCATTTCACTTCTTCCTTCATCCCACTTGAGTCTCCAGGTTGGTTTTCAGCTGTATCTTATTAATTTTGGGAGAATCGGATTAGGTAGTGAAGTGAGGAAAATTTTAGTGAATTGAATGTTGAACTTAGAATTAGGGAGATGAATTAGGTCAATTAGGGTGATTGAATGATTGAATGATGTTGCTTGCGCTTATCTGAGCCTTGGTGGGCATGTTTTAATTCGAATTGCTTGTATTTGCGAAATTTTCCCACCAAGTGCTAATTGTTGAGCGATGAGAAATGTTTTATTAAGTGGTGGTTGGTAGCCACAGTGGCATGGTTCAGGTTTGATTTTTATGTGAGATAATGTGTGACCACCTAGAACCGTGTTGCGGTGTGCTTAAGCTTAATTTTTTTGATTAGCATGGAACCGTACTGTAAATTTAAGTGTGGGGGAATTCTTTTTCCTCCCAATGAGCTGTGATTGACGTTTTTTTGCACGTATGGTGCATGGTTGTTGATTTTGTAGGATGTTGAACGTGGAGCACGAGTTCATCAGTTACCCGGTGAACCACGCCCGGTTCGGAGATAAGTTCACTTACCAACGGGAGAGCCCGATTGGGCACCATTGGCGGCTGAACCTGTATATGTTTAACACATTCAGGCGCGGAGCCGCAATGTCAGCGGTCGTCTATCACCCCAGTGGCGCCTGGTGCTCTCGATTGAAGAAATCATCTACCACGAGGTCTGCGTCGAGTTCTACTCCACGTTTGCCCACGTAGTCCTGACTGGCAAGAAGATTCGGCCATATGTGGAGTTCATGCTGGGAAGTTAGCCTCGAGTGCTGACCTATGATGCCTTCGCCCTGGCATGCGGTTGGACTCGACGTACATGACAATGATGAAGCGACACTACACAACCGACTTCCACTATCAGGCCACATTCAGGGCCCTTAGTCGTCCAGAGCATGAGCACGAGGAGTACGAGGCGAGCCGCACCAATGTGTTGAAGCTGAGGACCCCTTGGAGGATCATGCATACCCTGCTCACCCACTTAGTCGTCCCCAGCCTGCTGTGGGGACATCTGATCACGAACTGAACGTTGCTAGCTCTCTTCTCCATGAGGCATCCAGTAGAGCCGATCCACCTGGGATCACTGATCACCACCTCTTTCGCCCGATGTTGGGGCGAAACAGGCTGGACACCATGCAAATGGGGGGCATCATCACGAGGCTGGCCCGCCACTTTTAGTTGGATCTGGAGCGATGCTCCATCGTGGGACGGACAAAGTCGTTCCTAGTGGCGGCTCTCTACAAATAGAAGCTAGTGCTTCAAGGAGATTAGAGAGTGGAATACCTTGAGGGGCTCCAACCCTTAGAAGTCATGAGACCAGTGGTTGACCCGGCTCTAGTGGAGCCAGATGCAGAGGTACCACCTCCAGAGGAGCCACGTGCTCGAGCTCCAAGCCGGCGCCGGCGTTCCGCGCTCCAGCGATTAGTACCACCACCACCAGCTGGTGATCCCCTCATCCAGAGGATGTATCGCCCTGAGACCCAGGTCATGGGAGTGACTTCCGACTCGACCGACAGACCGACCTCCTTGAGCAGATGGCTCGTTGCCAAGGCCTCATTCCAGATGATGAGCCGGGGCCTTCGACCTAGTGAGAGGTAGCCGAACTGGGAGATGTGGCAGAGCCGATTCCTATCGCCCCACTACTCCACTTGGAACTCTGAACTCTCTTGTTTTAATTTTCTTTCTTTATTTTGTATGTGTGTGACAAACCGTTAATTGCACATGTTTTTACCCCTATTCTGGAGCTGTTTGAGGTGTTGATTCTCGTGTTTTAGGCTGATTTCACGCTAGGTTGTGCTTGTTTGTGATATTTCAGGTCCTAGTAAGTGAATGAAGGCTTGGGAGCGAGTTCGGGGTCGATTGGACGAAGATCGTGCGTGAGGCAAGTCAATGAGGAAGCCACACGGGCACACATACAACTCACACGGCCGTGCAAGTGACCAAGGGGGCCGCGTGGGATTGTGCGAGCCTTCACATGGGCACAAATAAAATCCACACGGCCGTGTGAAGGAGTGATTTGGCCGTGTGGAATTCTCTGAGGCTTCACACGCCAGGCTGGGTGAGCTACACGGCCGTGTGCCCCTGGCCGTGTAGGAAGCCTGAAACCCACATAATCGGAACGCGGCGTTTTGACCTCACATGGGCAACTGGGTATGCCACACGGCCGTGTGGCCTGTCCGTGTGAGTCGGGAATTTCTGGTTTTTACCCAATTTCGGGCTGCAAGTGAGAGAATCGGATTTTCAGAGCAAAAACAGAGCCCTAGAGAGAGAAAGTACGAAGAACACATCCTAGAAGCTATCTTGGAGCTGGGTTTCATCAAATGGAGCTTGGAGATTGTCATAGGAGTGGAAATTATCATCCCAGAGCAGATTCTTCCCATTGATATGAGTATGACTGCTTTGTATTCTGTTTTCCCCTCTCTCTCTATGGAGTAGAACCCTTCTCTCACTTGGGTATGAAGAACCCTAGTTCTATGTGTTAGGGATTTGATTGTAACAACTTGGGATGATTATACTGTTTGGTTTTAATCGAATGATGCATGTTTATTGAGTCAATTGAAGTCTGATCAGCTTTTCCTGATTTCTGCTGCAACCTGAGATAGATAGAATCTGATTAGGTTGTTAGAGCCTCATCATTCGGTAGTAGGAGATTGGCTATACGGGAGTTAGTCAGTTTACTGCTTTGAGCTGGAATCCAATTCCAGTAGTGGAGTTCTGTGCTTATTGCTTCAGCTTTCTATCCCGGTGAAGACTAGTCGTCTGCCGGGTAGTTAGACTGAGAGGGCTTGGTCAGCTTAAGAGATTCCAAGCTACTGTCGGATCTTCCGCAGTCTAATCAACAGTAAATCAACCCAGGGAAATTACAATTGAGACCTAACTAAGGAGCTAGGGGGACTCATTTCTGAGGGACTCTTCTTTGCTTGAGAAAACCGTACCAATTCCTGCTTTCTTTCTGCTTTTGCTTAAAACAACAAACACTTAACTTAGTTGGCTAGATAATAGATAATCACGGAGTAAGCAGTAGATCTAGACCCCAGGTTGATAATAGAACTTGCCATTTTTTTGCATTCCCGGACTGCGATTACACTTGGTTGCAGTTTGGTGTTGTGTTTTGGCATGTCAAGTATTTGGCGCCGTTGCCGGGGAACCTCTAGGTTATTGGAGAAACGTGCAAATCTTTTATTCTAGTTTTTTCTTTACTGCATTTTATCTCTTCCACCTGTGTGCCTTCACGGGTTGCTTCTGCTGAGTGTGTGCACGTAGTGCATGACCCGTAGCCAGTCGGGAGATCTACTACCATTAGACCAGGAGCTTGAACGAACCTGCAGAAACTTCAAGCGGGCTCTAAAGGAGCGACTGGCTGCGGAGGAGGCGCTAGCACAGCTACAGATCACTGACGAAGAGGAGATGGCTGACCCACAGGACCATGATGTGGTCATTCCGGAGGAGCAGACCATGGGATCCTACTGGACCACAAGGGCCGCGGACATGAGGTCACCCATTCAACACCCTCATGTCCCAGCCAAAATTTTTGAGGTGAGCACCTCAGTAATCACCATGCTGCGCGGTTCAGTGGTGTTCCGTGGCAAGGAGAGGGAGTGCCCCCTATCACATTTGAGGCGATTCCACGAGCTGATCGATGGAATCAAGATAAATGGGGTCCCAGCAGATGCCATCCAGCTGAGGTACTTCCCATTCACCCTGGAGGGGCAGGCCAAGGAGTGTCTAGACACTCGACCTCCAGGCTCCATCACCACGTTCGCCAACCTGGCGGACAAGTTCCTCACCCACTACCATCCTCCATCCAAGACGGCGGACCTGCAGAAGCAAATTACCCATTTTGCTCAGGATGAGGATGAGACCATCCGGGACGCATGGGAAAGATACAACAGTCTCTTCCTGAGGTGTCCCAATCATGGCTTCAATGATGCTTTCAAGGTGGGCACCCTCTATCACGCCCTCTTCCCAGAAGACAAGCAGCTGATTGACTCGGTTTGTGGCGGGAACATGCTGACTAAAACACCGCCACAGCTGAATCAACTCTTTGAGGAGATGGCAGAGAACGGGTATGATTGGGGCACTTCTAGGAGGTCGAGGAGAGCACCAAGCCGAGGTGTACATTCTGTAGGAAACCATTCCTCTGATTTGGTGCAGGTGGTGTCGAAGCTGGTTTCAGCTATCGATCGTTCCGGGATGATTCCAGGGACCGGACAGCAGCAGGCGATGCTCTGCCATTGGTGCGAGAGCACCCATCACACGGTGGAAGACTGCCAGGCGAAGAAGGAATCGACCACACCCCACGAGTCTGTCGTGTATCCTTCTGCGTTTCCTATTTTGCAGGATCCGCCTCCCATACCTTCGCCGCCACTCCCATCCACTCCGTCACCGAAAGAACAGATCAAGGAGGAGTGGCGGCCGAAAATGCAGGCAGCTAAGCCTGCTCGAAAGAAAGCCGGAGACAACTACGAGCTGGTCCCGCCCCCACCTTGGCCATCCGAGTATTCACTCGCTTGCATCCTGCCAGATGGCCAAGTTGAGTTGGCAAATGCTGGTGGCCACATTCATCATGTGCATGGCCACCATTTGAAGTTGTACCTCAAGAGCGAGGTGGATCCGCTCTTGAAGGCACCTGCTCCTTCACCTCATTGAGCATCCACCGACTGGCGTCCAGCTAAAAGACGGTAAAGAAGCGCTTGTGGGGAGGCAACCCCACCTAGGTTTGCATTTTCTTACCTTTTTCCTTTTGAGTTTTTTTTTGTGTTTTTTGAGTCTTGAGGGGTTGTTCACGAGTTGTATGTCGTTCTGGAGTGAAAACAGGTCAATTTCGGAGTTTTAGCAGCCCACACGGCCAGCCCTGAAAGTCACACGGCCGTGTGGAATTGTGATTTGGCCGTGTGAGCTCTTGTGAATTTCCACACGGCCTGTTGTGATTGTGACTCGGCCGTGTGGCAATCCCCCTGGCCGTGTGAGCTCTCGTCAAAAGTCACACGGCCAAATGTGCTTTTCGCACGGCCGAGTGGAAAATCCTCGGCCAGCCCGTGTCCGCCGACACGGGAAAATGTGGACCTCACACGGCCGTGTGAGCCTGCCGTGTGGCTGAGCCACAGGCTATAAATTTGGCCGACACGGCCGAGTGGTCAGAAAATCCAAATTCTCTCGCCGGAAACCTCTCCCCCTCGCCGGAAAACCGCGACTTTTCGCCCTCCTTGTCGATTTTTGGCCATTTTTGGTAGGTTTTTCACAAATCCAACACCACACCCACCCTTTCCTACCCATAATCGGCCTATCCCTCGATTTTGAGGTGATTTGGCTTGATTTTGAGTCGCCGGAGGCGATTTTCGGCGAGACTCCGGCGAGGCTCTGACGAGCACTTCCGGGCAATTTTTCGGCCTTTCGTCTCTTCCATTGCCTTCCCCTCATCATCCCCTACACCTCTACTTGAGTCTCCAGGTTTGATTTTGACCTTAACTATGTTTTTATGGAGAATTGGGTGTTAGGGTGTATGTTTAGAGAACCTCTTTGAATCATGTGAATTGCGTGCAATTGATTGAGGGGAATGCTTGGATTATGTATGATTTGTGTTGGGCATTGTCCCCCTTGCTTGTTTGAGCCCTTGTGTGCAAGAATTTTGTCAATTCCATGTTTACCTTAATAGTGCACACAAGGTGTTCGATAAAATGCCTGTTTTCGTACCATTTTGTGGGAGTCGGTTGGAGCCCTTAATGCTGTGCTTTGAGAGTGTGTTTGGTATGGATGTGAACCTTGAGTTGCCTACTTTCCCATGGATGTGCACACCCACCCCGATTATGCTTTTTTGATCGAGTTTTTGACCCCCGTACTATGGATGGAACCATGGTTCGGCTGTTTTCTGTTCTTAAGTGTGGGGGTGTGATTAACATTTTCCTTGGCTCTTTTGGTTCCACTTTGGGTTGTTCTTTTGCAGGACCATGACGAAGCCCAATCTCCGGCACCAGTTTGTTCAAGATTTGAGAAGGGGGCCCCACCATGATCGTTTTAAGGACGTCCTGGCCTTCAAGTTTGGGCAGCATCATTGCTAGTCCAAGCGAGAGTTCGAGAGGCTGAACTGCTACGAGCACTTCTCCTCCATTGTCACCAACCTCCCCTGGTGCCGCCTACTCAGCATTCGCGAGAAGGTTTACCACGAGCTCGTGCTTGAGTTCTACACTACCTTCAAGCACGCAGCCATGGAGGATTGGAAGGACGGTGAAGCCGTCCAATTCAGGCTCGGCGGTGAACCCCGATCCATGAGCTACAACGAGCTGGCGACCGCCCTCGGCCTCGGCCTGGTCGATGACAGGGACTACATCACCGAGCTTCTCGAGCTAGAGGGGGTGAACTTCGGGACACTGTACACCCGCCTCGCTCGGCCAGGTCAGCTTCCCTTCAGGGCGGGGAAGACGAAGGCCAGCACATTGCAGCTCGACAACCGCATCCTCCATCACATGCTGGCCAAGTCTTACACTCCAGCCTCAGACAGTGCCAGCGCCATCACCAAGAGAGCCATGTACTTCATCCAGTCTATGCGCCATTGGGATCATCCCCTCCACTTGGGTTCGGTGGTGGCGAGGACCTTCGACAAGAGTGCTTCTAAGCTGAAGAAACTCCACTGCACTCCCCTCATCACCCGCCTGGCAGCCTACTTCCAGATATCCCTGCAGGGGTGCACAGAGCAGGGAGACACCAGTGCCTTTGGCCGGTTTACGATCAGTAAAATGCACCTGCTTCGAGAAGAGCGAGGTGTTATGTGGATCGAGGGGTTTCCTCAACCTCAGATCCCATAGGAGGTCCAGCCGGAGGTTCCCGAGGGTGCGCGTGATGAGGATGTCCACCCGGAGGATGTGGATGATACTGCTGCCGCCCGCCCCACCACCTTCGAGTACGGGGGTGGCAGCTCCACTTTCCCCGGCCAGGACTACTTCACTCAGCAGTTCGAGCAGCTGCGTCTCCAGAATCAGCAGCTCTACGACCATCAGCTCCAGTTTCAGCAGCAGTATTCGGCTCACCATGCCGAGTACCAGGTCCGGTTGGCTGCGTATGATGAGCGTTTGGATCGGATGGAGACCCAGCAGGGGGTGACCTGGCTGGCATTGAGAGAGAGCAGGCCCGATCTAGGCGCATGCAGGAGGTCCAGCAGCATCTGCTCCAGCTGCTACCAGGCGAGCAGCCAGTCTGGAGGACTCCCTGGGAGGACTCTCCACTTCCACCTCCACCAGCTGACGATGATGATGCATTTATGAATGACATCGATCTGGACAACCTTGGCGACGAGTAGGCTGTACTTGTCGCCCCTCAGTGTGTGTTTTTGTTTTAGACTTTTTCTGTTTGCTCCATGTGTTTAAGGAGCTTGAACTGAGTCTGTCGTGTGTTTTGTTTCTTTTCTTTTGTGGATTGTTTCTTTTGTGGTCATCTGGGCCAACTCTGATCCCTAACGAACATGTGCTAGTGTGTTCTTGATGTTCTCTTAGTGCAGAATTGTCCGTTCGTTCCATATGTCCCACGCTGACTGGTCCACTTCCAGTCTCCCGCAACATTTCAATCCGGTAACATCGTTCCCCTTCTTTATCCCTCTGCTCCATTGAGGGAAATGTCGTGCTTAAGTGTGGGGGGTGCTTTGTATCGGTAGGAATGTATATACGTGTGCTTGGAGCCTAGTCCACTGTCCAAATCTCGAGATTTGAGGGCTCCAAGTACAATTGTTTAATCATATTGGCACTGTGTTTGAATTGGTGAATTGAATGGTTTTCGGATTAATGCATGACAACTGAATGGTGACTAGGACAACCTATAATGATGACTGAGACATGCAGTAGGATTGTGTAGGGGTTCAGTTTT